ACCTCATGAAGTGCCAGCAGACGTTTTTAAATGGCTAGCTTTTATTGTTGCTATTTAGATGTTGAAATTTGACTTGGTGAATTAAAAAGAAAAATAGGATTGACTTTTAAAAATATTTATTTCTAAAACATAATAAGGATGCTCATAATACATATGTCTAGTATATATTTTTCTTATATAATACATTTTTTCTATTATATTCTTTTTTGTGAAAATGTATTTGCAGCCTTGCTAAAAGGAAGTTTTGTTTTGAAGCAGTGGCCCTTTATTTGGCTGTACTTCATTCTTAAATTGTTTTTCCAGGATACGCACTGGGCAGATTCAGCAAAGTATGTACCAGAATGAGGTTTTTAATAGGCTTTCTTGGAACTGTAAGCAAATCCATTTGAATTTATGTAATAATTATAGCTTTTGGGTGCCTTATTGCAGTGAAAGTTATTTTTTTAAAAAAACCGTCCATACCTCGTAGTCTCATACACAAAGTAAAAGGATCTATATATTTTCAAATCAGTTTATGTTTGTGTTCTCATTATCTTTCCTAATGGTGCTAAGATGTATGTTGCTTGGGGAAATAAAATGGTATTACAGAGACTGGCAATACAGTTCTTGCAGAATTATGATCCTATAGAAGGGCAACTCTGGTGCTTGGCTTTGTTGTTTGTCTCTTAGCTGGCAGCTGGAAAGAACAAGTCTTCGTAGGTTTTTTATAAGCTGGTTCATTTGTAGAAGGTTTGCTGAAAAAGCTCTTCTTTTTTTCCTTTTTTTTTTTTCCTTCTTTTTTTTCCTGTTGAATAAACGCACAGGACAATTTATGTTTCAGAAACAGTGTTGATATTTTTATAATAAAAAGTACAACTGTGTGCCACAGTACTTTTAAGATTTTATAAAACCTTGTGATTTGTTTGATGAATTTAAGCTGATGGCTTAGTTGCTTCTTTGCAAGCTGCAGACCACAGTGATCTTGAAAGAGCCATTATATTCTGTTGAATAACTATTGCTAGAGGTTTGCATACTTTGTTGCTTCTGAAAGCTGAGTGTACTTCTTGCACCCGGCTCTCTGCACATCCTTTTGTTTTCCCTAATCTCCCTATGTGCCGCTTCCTGGCTCTCTATTTCCAGAACCTGAAGCCATTCACCAACCTCCTCAGTACACGACAGGGATTTTGTGACTCTATTCCAGAGACTCTTTGCCTCTTATATATTTTTTTCTTCCCGTGGGATAAGCATGCATATCTTATTTTCCCCATTCGTCTTAAAACAAACCTATAAACTTGAGTCCTTCAAGCAATGGGAAGAAGCTGCTGGAAAAAACACTTTAAGTGGCACAGCCCAGTACCTGGAAGTGTGATAGTTTTCCGGTAGACCAATTCACTTAGTTATTGGGATGAGGAGGAGAATAAAAGCCAAAAAAAAATAATCCAACCCCCATACTTCAAAAAACTTGTTGACTTTTTGTCTCCGTCCTTTTTTGGCAATAGCTTAGAAATATCTGTGGGCTTGGGCGAAGGGGGGTGTTTGTTAGAAGAGAAAAACATAGGTCTGTGCTCACAGTCATTAAAAAAAAGTCTGGTGAAGTCTTCCTCTCAATTGTTCTCCATTAATATAGGATATGCATCAGAGCCTTTATTCTACTTCGTGGTTTGTTTAGGGTCTGAAGGCCCAAATGTCTGAGATAAGTTACTCTGAAAAGCTGCTCCTGTATCCACTGCTTGCTAGGGAACCCAGCAGTGAAGCAGTGCCTCAGTCCCAAAGTGGCAGATGTTACCAAACGGTGCTTTATTATTTGAAATTTTAATTAAGGAATTATTAAAAATACATCATTTCATTTGGCAATAATCTTTTCAAACCTTCTCTGTGTCAGTCAGACTGCGTGGCTGTTTTCTGATCTTGCTGGTTTTTGCAGCAGCCTGAGGATGATGTTGCTTTGTTCGTATGCCTTCCCGAGCTCAGGTCAGCTGCTCCCTGCATTGCTTTATCAGTCACATTAACAAAATAACCTGATGAAAACCTCTTGCAAATAAGAAGTTCTTCTTGAATCAAAACACAGAGAAGCCACGCTTTGTTTTTTCACCTTTGTTTCCTCAACCTGTTTAGCTGTAAGTTTTCTCCTCTTGCAGCCATGTGCTCTCAGATACCATCTGTAAAGTATAAGTTCAATGGGGTCTTCAATGTTTTGGTAACATGTCTTCTGTGTTTGTATTCCTCAGGCTGTGAAATTCGAGCCATATCATGACAGTGCATTAGCCAGATTTCTGCTAAAACGGGGTTTGAGAGTAAGTATTTAAAAATACAGCCAATTTATGCTAAAGTTACTGGCATTATTAAAGCCCTTTGTCAAGAAATCCATGCTGATTCTAGTATTTTTTTTTCACCTCTAGAACAAAAGAATTGGTCACTTCTTGTTTTGGTTCTTAAGAAGTGAGATTGCCCAGTCCATGCACTACCAGCAGAGGTTTGCAGTCATCCTGGAAGCCTATCTTAGGGGCTGTGGAAAAGCAATGCTGCACGATTTCATGAAGCAGGTTCAAGTAATTGAATTGCTGCATAAAGTCACAATGGAGATAAAATCAGTTTCTGCAGAAAAGTACGATGTCACTTCTCAAGGTATTTCCTAAGAGGCATTTCTTTCTTTGTAATAATATTTTTTTTTCTCTTTGTGTATGGAAATCTAGGCAGCAAATTGTGCTTTTTACTATTTAAATTCACTGATAAATTGCTGTCAAAAGGTATCGTTATTGCTTATTTTAAAATACCAGTGTGAGTTGATAGTGTTTGAACCAATAATGCATTTGTTTGCTCATTCTACTCTACAAGGGGAAGAATGTGTTAAAGACAGCTACTACATTCCTGTGATTTAGCTTATCTTCTTGAACTTCATGCCATGCAAGTGGGAAACAGCCCCCTTCTTGTACATAACCCTTAGCTGAATGCCAGCACTGAAGAAAGAAACAACCCAGGACACAAATATTAACTGGAAATAAAGAGAAATAGTTGCATTTGCCAAGAAACACAGTCTTACCCTAAGCAGTCACTAAAAGGCTCTTGGCAAGAAGACTGGGGAGGAGATGAGTCCAGTACAGCCTCTGCTAGGCCATGAAAGTAGCTGGTGGATCAGCAGTGAATATACAGAGCACATCTTTGGGGCTTTGCATAGTGCTGAATAGGAGTCCTGTGAGACACAGATGTGGTATTGTTACTTCTAGTTCCTGTAAGCACTGCTTTGGAAGCCACAGTAGGGTTTTGCAATGCCTGTTTACCTCTGGGGTTTGCCTGCCTTTTTTTTTTTTTTCTCACAGGACTTCCTTAAAACCTTAATTGTCATCATTCCTGTTAGTTGCTTAGTGTTGAGACTAGGTGTGAGAAGTCATATGGCAATATCCAAATTCTAAAAGCTGTAGAGACACCAGCTCTTCTTGCTGGTTCAGCCTGTTATGTTCCAGGCCAGGAAGTCCTTGGTTCAGAAAGACATTCCACTCTGGTTATGTGGAAGTGGCTGTGGTGGTGTTTCAAAAGGAAACTTTTATTTTAATTCTTCAAAATATAATGTAATATCACATTACCATGCAATGTGAGATAGGGGACTTATTGAATTTCCATATAAAATATGCTTTCTAAACAACCTTGTAAAATTTATCTTACAATGCTCTATAATATAAATGTATTGGGTCAGAATCCCATGTTTTGGAAAGAAACTTTACAGCCTGCTCTGGCAGGGGGGTTGGACTAGATGATCTTTCGAGGTCCCTTCTAACCCCTAGGATTCTATGGTCTTTTCATTTGCAGAGCCTTGCAGATGTACATGTCTGTAACAGCAGTGGTTTCCATAATACATTATCTTTGAAGGATATGCAGGCAAGGAAGAAAAGTTTCAAGAGAAATGCAATCACATTAACACCCACCAGGTTTTGAAGTTAAAGGATCCTTGTATGTAACATACAGTAGAACATTGAAAGATGACTTATATAATTGACATTTTCACTGAATAAGGCTTCCTGAAACTGTGGAGTGTCCTACTAATGCTATACCTAATTCAATTTGCTCTCAGATAATTGAGGATATTATTTTTCCTACAGGCACCCTCTACTCCTTACATTTTTTAAAAAGTACATCCTAAGATTTCTTCTTTAGTTTATTGCTTCTTTTTTCCCCCATAATTTCTGAATCTTTTGGACTGCTTAATTTAATTCTGTCATGCAGCCTCATCTAATTCTTGTATGTATTTTTCTTTTTCCAGTATTTTTTAATATTTTTTTTACAGAATAATTTCCTTCCTGTTAGATCCATACTAGTCCAGTAGCAATCTTGCTGTCAAACTGCTCCTTTCACTTTTCATATAATTTCTTTTTGTATATTTGAACAAAGTAAGTAATAATAAATATATTAGTAAGATCATAGTATTGCAGCTTACATAGGATTATCTGCTTTCATCACTAGTCTTAGATTATTTGTCTCCCAGGAATTAGTCTATGCAGCTGTTTCTTCTCTTAAAATGTGTAGCACTTTGATCTTAAGCCAGATCAATTTGAAATTGTTTTAACAAGCATCTTCACTTTTGTTTGAAAATCAGCTAATTCCTAATCTGTACTAGTTTCAGTTGGTTTGCATACAACTTTCAAATCACATTACATTACAACGAGCAGACTTACTGAAATCAAGCTAGATTTGTCTAGGAAATCAATAGTTACATTTTAGAAAGCTTTTTCTTGACCTAAGTTACTGTAGCCTAGGGGTTTGTTTTGGTTTGTTATTTTTGAAAGGTGTCTATTTACAGAGTCTCCTTATTAAGCTACTGTATCTTGCTGTCAGATTTACTTATTTTTTACCAGAGGAGATACCACATTAGTCACCTTACTCTGTTGGGTAGTTTTTTTCTAAAAGCCTTCAGGGTAAGTGTAACATTTATGTTCTGTGAATTCTCAGGTAATTCTTTTGGCTTCATTTTCTTAATTGGATAGCAGCTTTTGAAATTTCTCTTTTTTTGGACATGAGCCAGCAACATGCGCTCACAGCCCAGAAAGCCAACCATATCTTGGGCTGCATCAAAAGAAATGTGACCAGCAGGTTGAGGGTAGTGATTCTCCCCGTCTGCTCTTGCGAGACCTCACCTGGAGTTGTGTCCAGCTCCAGGGCCCCGAACATAAAAAGGACATGGAGCTCCTGGAGAGAGTCCAGAGAAGGGCCACCAAAATTATCAGAGGGCTGGAGCACCTCTCCGATGAAAACAGGCTGAGAGAGTTGGGGTTTTTCAGCCTGTAGAAGAGAAGGCTCTGGGGAGACCTTATAGTGGCCTTCCAGTACCTGAAGGGGTAACAGGAAAAAGCTGGGGAGGAGCTTTTTACAAGGTCATGTAGCAATAGGATGAGGGGGGAACAGTTTCAAACTGGAAGAGGGTAGATTTAGATGAGGTACAAGGAAGAAATTCTTTGCTGGGAGGGTAGTAAGACACTGGAAGAGGTTGCCCAGGGAAGGTTTGGGTGTCCCCTCCCTGGAAGTGTTCAGGGCCAGGCTGGAGAACCCTGGTGTAGGGGAAGGTGTCCCTGCCTATGCAGGGGGTTGGGACTAGATGATCCTTAAGGTCCCTTCCAGCCCCAACCATTCTGTTGTTCTTTGATGACTTTTTAAGTAAGGCCTGTAGTGATAAGAAAAGGGCTCATGGTTTTAAAATAAAAGAGGGTTTATTTAGACTAGATAGAAGGAAGAAATTTTTTACAGTGAGGGTGGTGAAACACTGGAGCAGGTTGCCAAGAGAGGTTATAGATGCCTCATACCTGGAAACATTCAAGGTCAAGTTGGACAGGGTCGCTCAAGTCTGAGCAACCCAATCTAGTTGAAGATGTTGATGTCCCTGCTTACAGCACTGTGCAATGCTTCTAATACTGTGTAGAGGACACATGACTGGTGAGGTGCTTGGAGACTTTACCTTTAGGTCTCTGAAACGGCCATGACCATTAGTAGTGCAAGTTAAAGAGTCTTTCTGCATTCCTCAAATCAGGACATCCTTGAGGAGAGCAATTTCAACAGTAGGTAAATGGAGGAGGTGTTTAGCTAAATCCTGATGCTTAACAAGTTTCATTACCTCTAACTTTTTTGCCTTCTAACTTTTTATTTCCTTGTGTTTTCTTACTTGTAATTGCAGTTATTGTACAGCTGAGACAAAAGCTTGAAAAACTGCAGAGCAGCAAACTTCCAGGGAGTTTTAGAGTTCCGTATGATCCTGGGCTACGAGCAGGAGCCCTAGTGGTAAGTATTCTGAGTTTCTACAAATCTTTTTTGAAAATAAATCTCCTATTTGCAAGTATGTGTCTTTTAGTAAGCATTTTTACTAATATGTATGAAGGTCTTACATCACTCTGAATAGTATGACATTTCATGGACTCAGGAAGTTTTTGCTCCCACAGCTTTTAGCATTTTTCTAAATGTAATGACATGCCACCATGCCACCACACAAAAAATGCAACTACCCATAAAACCCTCATAATTTATTGGCAGTTATGATTTTTCCATTAGTTTCATCCAGGATTTAACGAGGTAACTGACTTTTTTTTTTTTTTTTTTTCTTTTTTTTTTTTTTTTTTTTTCTTTTTTTTTTTTTTTTTTTTTCTTTTTTTTTTTTTTTTTTTTTCTTTTTTTTTTTTTTTTTTTTTCTTTTTTTTCTTTTTTTTTTTTTTACATTAAATGTCTGCATAAAACTATTTGATCTGACTTCAGGGGCTTTGGGATATTCAGTTTCTGTTCCTCCAGTTACTGTCTCTGTCTTGCCCTGATTCATACTTGTCAGTAAGGTTTAGGTGCAGACCTTCATCTTACTAACAAAAATGTCTCCACACCTACCTTAGCTATTTCTGATTTTTTAATAGATCTGTATTGCTTTTGTGGCTTTTATTAGAAAATGCATTAATATATTTTTAGAAATATATTAAGAAACAATGGGCATTTTATGTATTGCTGCATCCAGTTTTGTAGTGAGGTTGCAGTGGCTTATGTCAAGTCAGAGGTAAAAACAAGGTGAATAAATCAACAGATGTGTAGTGAAAGGGACCTGGCTCATTCATATATGATGCAAACTGAGGTTTGAGTAAAGAAGCACAGTGAAGATCCTTGGATTCACTTGATGTGCAACAAGGGAAGCTAAATCCAGTTTCAGAGTCAAGGTGTGCTTTCTCCTGCATCATGGACAGTGTTAAAAGTTGTGCAGGTTCAATGAGGCTTTACATGACAATTGAATACTATTCCTTACATGTACTTTCAGTGTGTTTCTTGTAGTATAAATAATTGAAAGTTGGTAAACTACTCTGTAGCTGCTGTGTAGAAAAGTTACTTTTGTTGATGTTGCAGTACAACTACTAGCAACAACTGTGTCTTTCACAGATAGAAAAATGTAAAGTAATGGCATCTAAGAAGAAACCCCTCTGGCTTGAGTTTAAGTGTGCAGATCAAACAGCTTTATCAAGTGAAACTATAGGCATAATCTTCAAACATGGAGATGACCTCCGTCAGGACATGCTTATTTTACAGGTATGATAGGTAAAATATATAAAATTAATAATGTGAATATTTTAAAATATCTTTAAATAGTTTTACTTTTCAGAAGTTTATCTTTATCTTTACTGTCCATATGAAAGGTGAGGTTGTCTTTTATTTTTATAAGCTGAGTATGGAAGAGCTGACAGGACTACTGGATCTTCTTTCTTGTACTAAAGGTTTTATGTGACCGTGTTGTGAGTTAACCTTGTTGAGATGGGGAAAGCAGAAAGGAAGAGAACTTGTGGGTTGAGATAAAAATTGTTTAATAAGCAAACAAGTGAAAGAAGAGAGAAAGAAAACAAAGCAAGGATGCAAAGGCAGGCACTCACCACATCCCATGGGTAGACTGACGCCCAGCCAGTTCCTGTGCAAAAGATGGTTAACCTACCTAATCCACTTCCTCTCTGTTTCATTGCTGAGGATGACATTACTCAGCATGGAATATTTATTTGGTTGGTTTGGGTCATCGGCCTGGTTGTGTGTCCTCCCAAGCACATGTGCACCCTCAATCTGTTCGCAGCAGGGCAGAGTGAGAAGCAGAGGCAGCCTTGACACTCTGCAAACTGTTCAGCAATAACTGGAACATCAGTGTTGTACCTGCATTGCTTTGGTCACCAACCTAAACCACAGCACCATACAAGCTGCTCTGAAGAAAATTAACTTCCTTCCAGGCAGAACCAGTACATACTGTTACTCTGTTTTCTCCTGCCATGTGCCATACATACTTCACATTTTTATGTCCTAGAGAAGGAATCTCATTTAGTGCAAAATGGCCTGTTCTTCTGATGAAGCATTTTTATCGTTTGTTTATGCAGTCGGTGAAGTTACAAATGAAAAAGGAACCAGTAGGTAGTGTTTCTCTAGTAATATTTCAGTGATTGTTCCCACAAACTGGTTTCTTAGCACTTTTGGGGGTGTTTATTGGAAAAAGTGGACATACTTGCTAATGTATTCAATCTCAGCTCATGTAGAAATCATACAATATATTTATTAATACTTCAGAAAACAGTAGAGATTGCGTGGGCACACAGCAGATGAGGAAATACAAACCCTGTAATGTATAATCTGAAAACTCTGCACACTTTATTTATCTCTTAATCTGTGAAATAGACAAGTAAGTTTAGCCCTGTCTCTGACACTGTCTGGGTAGTGTTATTCATGTGAGTAACAGGTAAAGTCGAAATAATTTGAAATAATTTAGTGAATATATATTTGTTTTTACTAGATTCTTCGAATTATGGAATCCATTTGGGAAGCAGAATCCTTGGACCTCTGTTTGTTACCATATGGTTGTATTTCTACAGGGAACAAAATAGGTATGTGATCACATTTACTGAGGTTAGAAATTCAAAATACTGTACTTACAGAAGTTGCCTTTTGGAGGACTATTCTGGTATGCACTGTGGTCTCAGGACAATATAGCTATTTATTACAAATAACAGTGTATTGCACTTTCTGTGAGCAACCTTCAGATGTGTCTTATCAATGGTTTCTGCCCTTCAGAGGAATACCTCAGCTGTGGCACTAGGTTAGCTGACTGTGATTGCTGTGCAACAATTTGGGTCCTGCTGCAAGTTTCTCTTTAATAACAATACTTGGTATAAAAAAGAGGTGAAAGTGGGTGATTTATTCAGTATGAGTTCTAATGTGTTGATAGGAATAAAAGAGAGAAGAGAGTTAAAATAGCAAAACATTTATGTTTTCTTCTTGACCTAAATTTTCATACCATATACTACATAGAAGCAACAGCATTACTTATCGGGATGTTCAGGCAATATTTCTCAGTGGGCTAAAGTTCCTGCAGCACAGATGGTCTATTTTCCAGAATTCATGGTGGGAGAAATCAAGTAGTTTCTTCTAAAGCTTCTGGAGAGCTGTGTGATGGTGTGTAGAGGAACCTAATGAGATCTGGAGGAGTACAATTACATCCAGAAATGCCAAACTAATGTATAATTTATACATCCTGATGGCTGGAAACTGACTCTTTGGGGTTGGATTTGCATATATTATGTACCCTACGATATCCAAGTTGCAGTTTCCTGCTATCCAGCTATCACAGAATTGACTGTAGAGTGAATTTTGCTGAGCAATTCTTGAACGATTGGCTGCTGGAAAGCCCCTTGGTGTAGAAAAACTGGCCACGCCCAAATGAAGCTATTGTGCTGAAAAAAAAATGCTTTGTCTGGTATAAACAATGCATCAGTGAGACAGATAAGCAAGTGCAGCTCTGCCATTTACTTAAAGCTTGAACATGTGTAAAAATTAGCGAGTTTGTTAATCCCTGTCATTGGTATAGTGGGCAGTGTGATAGTAATTGCATGGATTGAAAAAATAATTATAATGTAAGTACTGTTGTGTGTCATAATTATAATATAAATACTGCTACGTGTCTTCCATGATCTCTAGCTTTTTAGTTCTTTTCTTTTTCAGGAATATATTTTGCTTTATGGATCAGAGAATAATGAGCTGAGTCCCAGTCAAATTAAGAACTCTTTTTAATATATATCTGTAATGTACTTCATCTCTGAAATCCATTGCCACATACATTTTTTATCACAATTTTCTTTGAATTCAAGGTATCTCAGCAATGCAGAAAACTCAAATGACCACTAAAATTCTTGGTAGTGTGACACAAAAGAGTTTCCTTTCTCGTAATAGAAGTGTTTAAAAATTAAATATTGTATTAATAGAATTATAAAGGAAAAATGATATATCAAGATATGAACTAACTGTAAATATAAGGAAAGTTGTTTATTTTCCCTCTCCTGTAAGTATATTCTAATAAATCTAATTTTTAGAGACATGTTTGGGATTTAATTTGATTTTGTTTAAAATCATCTTAAGACAATGTACCATATTGAAATAATGGAGGAAGATGCAGGAATTCTGCCAGTCATCCTAGCATTCTCATATTGAAGTTGCAGACTTCATTATTCTTTTATGAATTCTTAATTGACTCCACATTCTTTTATCTCAAGGAAATAATGGTTTGATTTCCTATATTCATGGCAGGAGATGTAAGAATTTAGCCTCCTTTCAGCACCACAGTAGGAGCATGGTGAATCACATAAAGACTTTTGTTCAGTTTGCTGAGGATTCCTGCAGCCTAAATTAGCAACACCTGATGTGGGACACTTTGATGTAGAGCTTATGCTTGTTTGGAACACAACCAAAGAGTAGTGGCATGCAAATATTTTTTCACGATATTCATATGTGGTCTTCTTCCAACTTAATATTTCCATGGAACTTGGGGCAGTTTCTGTATATTTTCACAAGGACAATACCCCACTCTACACAGAGCACAGGCAAACACCCAGGTGTCTTACACCTGGGACTGGCATCCCCTCCTGTGTAGAGCTTTCTCAGTCTGTTGAAGACACCTGCAATTAGTGCAGTTTGCAGTTTTGGAAACATCTGTCCTCCCCATTGCTGCTGCCAAGCAGACCTCTGTAGGAGGAACTTTCTCCTCTATGTATCCCTGGTAAGAGATCATACCCTGTTCTCTCTGCCTTTGACATGGCCATATGTTCCCGGCTCTGCCAGGTAATTATCACTACTTACTATGCTGCATCACTGCCAAGTTTAAGAAGTTCAAGCTGGCACTTAATACCCTGCTTTAGTACTGCAGATCCCCAGAAACACAGCACAGTGCATTTACTGCTGCACCTCCTCCCAATAGAATACAGCCCAGCTGAGGTCCTCGACCCCAGTTCCTGAAGCCTTTTCTAGGACTAAACATACCTACCAAGAGGCATGTCTGTTTTCAGAAGGATTTTCCAGTAGAGCTGTACTATTCCAGTTAATTATTTTTTACCATGATACCTTTTAAGTCGTTACTTGGGCAGGATAAGCTGCATGGGTTTTATGTCATTCATTTGGCAGTGCAGTGGAGAAGGATCAGTTAAGGGTTTTCATTAGCAGCTGCTTTACAATCTGGGGACTTTTCACACAGCTAATCAGCATAGTTATGCTGGAAGAAGTTTTAAATTCAAGGGGGAGAGGAAGAGGCCTCCTGCAACAGCTCCACTCCCCTGGAATCAAGGAGCTGTTGGCCAGTAGAGGGAGATTTCTGAGCACAAGCAGGGGAAGCCTTTTCAACAGCTGGAATGTGATCTGGAGCTCGCTCCTAGGAGGAAAACAACAGCTTCACAAGCACAGACCAAAATGCAGAGCTTTTTAATTTGGTAGTGTTGGCCGTGGATTTTGGAGGTTATATTTCCACAATAGTTTCATTACAAACAAATCCAGGCCACTGTCAAGACAGAAGAACTACCTCTAGGGGGTACTCAGCAGTGAATTCAGCCATATGTGGAAGGCAGGGGCAGGAAGAAATTGCTGCGTTTTTACTCTCTTGCTGAAATCTGCACATATTTCAGTAATTGACAAAGGGTAGAACTGTGAATAAAACAGAAAACCATCTGTTTCAGAGAGAAGCTGAGACCAAATCAGAAATTGCTTTGAATGACTTTGGGCAGAAAGTGTTAATTTTTGTTTGCTTATCTTTGAGCTGGAGCTGAAAAGACACTGATGAACTTGAAGCAGACCAACAAAATATGACCTTTCCAGTTACCAAATAATTTCAATTAAAATCTGACCTTTCCCCATACGGGCATGCCCAGTATGAGGGCAGACTGCATTTGCTAGTCTTGGCTGCAGTGCAGAGTTGTGCTGCAGCCTCTGGTTTTGTTTCTCTCTCTAGCTTCCCCTTCATCCCATGCCATGTTAGTACGAGCAGCACCAGCACTATTTCTGCACAACGTTGCCATGATGTGCTGGTTTGCCTTTGCAAAGGTCTTTTCAGTTTAGGAACTGACCTCTGGGCCCCCACAGTCAGAGGTTTCCACTAGCTGTCCCACGGCTGTACCTCGCTGCGTCTTGCTATTGCTGAACCTTTCTGTGCATATGCATACTGAAGGTTAAGTTGGATTCACAGAGGTTAAGATGGAATCACAGAGTCACGGAATTGTCAGATTTGGAAGGCACCTCTAGAGATCATCTAGTCCAACTGCCCTGCTAAAGCAAGATCCTCTGGACCACATTACTCAGGTCTGCATCCAGGCAGGTCTTGAATATCTCTAGAGAAGAAGATTCCACAACCTCCCTGGGCAGCCTGTTCCAGTGCTCTGTCACCCACATACTAAGGAAGTTTTTCCTCATATTGAAATGGAACTCCCTCAGTTCTAGCTTGTCCCCATTGCCCCTGGTCCTGTCACTGGGAACTACTGAGTCTGGCTCTATCGTCCTTGCACCCACCTTTTAGATACTTACAGGCATTAATAAGGTCTCTCCTCAGCCTTCTCTTCTCCAGGCTAAAGAGTCCCAGCTCTCTCAGCCTTTTCTCATAAGGGAGAATCTCCAATCCCCCAACCATCTTTGTTGCCCTCCACTGGACTCTCTCTAGTAGTTCCTTTTCTCTCTTGAACTGGGGAGCCCAGAACTGGATGCAGTATTCCAGATGTGGCCTCACCAGGGCAGAGTAGAGGAGCATTTACTGAAGGAGGAATGCCAGCTCTGTTCCTCTGCCACAGCTCTGACAACACTTGTATCCCCTGGTGCTGCAGCGCTGCAGCTTCTCTTCAGTGCCTTGAATGTGAGAAGTTGGAGGGAAGCTGGTGGTAATGTGAATGGCACCTGGGCTCCTGCAGGGGACCAGAACAGGAGATAGTTTCTCTCCTTCAGAAAAGCCTTATATAGAGGGTCATCACTCATAATTCTTCGAGTTTAAAAAGGTTTGACATTCTCATGGAGGAGTTTACAATGCCAGGCTAGTTAAGAAATTGGCTGGCTTCAGCTGGGAATGAACATAAACCCCTGTTGCTTGTAAAAGAAATTTCTGCTCACAACCTATGAAATTCTGCAGTTTATTTAAAAAACACAGTTTTAAAATTAATTTTGCGTAATTTTAATATGCTTTGGTATAAACTTAATAACTTCTGACTTCTTCCTTGTTTTCTCTAGGAATGATTGAAATTGTGAAAGATGCTACAACAATTGCCAAAATTCAACAGAGTACAGTTGGCAACACTGGTGCATTTAAGGATGAAATACTAAACCAGTGGCTCAAGGAAAGATGCATGATTGAAGAAAAGGTGAGTTATTTGAATTTTTAAGTAGGATTTTCAAAAGCACCCTACTAACTTAGGAGCACAGAGCCCATAGGTTTGTGTACATGTTACTTACATGAGCTTAAAATATCCATTAAACTTCCCTGTACTCAGCTGCTGGTGTCTGAAAGTGCCTTTACCACCCAGCTGGCAGCTGAGCTCCTGTGAAACAAGATGCTTTAGAAATAACTTCTTTGTCAATGGTGTTTAGAAGTGATACATGATGAGCAGATAGAAAGGACCTCTTAGAGCACTGAAAAGCGATGTGGTATTAGAGGATTTAAAGACAGGTTGGGTATTCACAGCTCCTTGGCTTAGGTTCATCTGCTGATCTACTAGAGCTTTCTGCCAGCTTTTTTTTTCTCAGAAATTGTGGACAACTACATGCTTATTTTATTTGTGCTGAGGGATAGAGCACAATGCAGCAAGTACAACAAGTGCAATGCAGGGCTGTGATCTTAATCCCTGCACCAGTGTATTTTATTTTTTAGAATCATAGAAACTTCTAAAATAGATTGTCTAACTGTTGATAGATACCTGTTGATAGAAAGGCATGTGACTTTCAGAATTACTGAATTTAGTTTCTAGCATGGGAGCTTTTAACATCTCTAAGATTTATTTTTAGTTTCAGGCAGCTGTGGAAAGATTTGTTTATTCTTGTGCTGGATACTGTGTGGCGACCTTTGTACTTGGAATAGGAGACAGGCACAACGACAACATTATGATTACAGAAACAGGTGAGTTATTTTTTGAGAATTTAGTAGAAGGGGGACTATCTGTACTTCATTAGATTATCTTTTATTTTAATAAATAATGCATTTAGCAATAAATCAAGAGACACAATCCAGTTCTGTCAGCATTGCTTACAAGTTCAGACCTTCCTGTGACATGGAAATGCACTGTCACCCCTTTTGGCCTTCATATAGGCTCTAGATATTTATCATTAATAATACCATTCTTTTTCAAGGATGACTTTGTTACAAACTAAGTCATGAGGAAAGTAAAACTGATTTATTTATTTTTTATTGTCTAGATCTAAGATCTAAAAGCCAAAAAACTTTAAAAAGCAGACAGTTCTTCACCTGTCTAAGGTGTGGATGTGATTCTGACAGTGTTCAGTGGAACTGTATCTGTGTCAGAATTCACATCTTACTGGCCTGTTTTCAGTTCCAAGGAGCATAATTGCTTTATACACCTTTGTAGAAAATCCTAGAAAATAAAGTACATGGAGTGTATTGCTTTTTGCAACTGAAACGTGTGGGATCATTGCAAACATCCTGAAAGAACCACAGGTTTTTCGTAATGCAAACTTGAATAATTATTTCTGTATCTGCACATTGGTTCAGCCCTGATTTTACTTACCTATGGATGATCCAGAAGGAACCCCAGAACGAGTGGTACATATTGAAGAGTTTTATTTGGTCTAAGAAATCAGCTTCCAGTTTTATGATCCTGTTGCTTCATAATTAGTCTTTACATAATGCTAAGAGAAAATACTTTTGGGCTTACTTAGAAGGCTGTATATTTAATATTAATCATATTATAGTTAAAATTTTACCAGTTGAAGGCTGGAGAGAAGTAGTACCCTGAAGGCAGAAATGAGCTAATTGCAGACTACAGTGAAAGAGTTCACCAGAAGTCCTTGAGGAAAAGAAGGCAAAGAAATGCTTTAATTTCAACATTACATGTAATATGAAGCAATGTTAGTGCCCATTGGCAGAAAATGAGGGATAGATCAGTAGAAAAGGAGATGGAGAAAGAAAGGTTATTCTGTTGTGGTCAAGAGCAGGTTTGCCTTGAAATCTTTCATGGGAGCTGTCTTGAGCATCAGAAGCCAGAAGGATGTCAGTCTGAGAGACCTGCAGAGTGTCACGTTCAGTGGGTTGGGAGGACTCGGAAACTGGCTGAAAATGCCGGAACATCTAAGCATGTTCCACCTGCAGATCACTGTTAAGTATCATCTTACATCATTTGATGTTTTATCTACATGTAGGACTATTATAAATCTATGTTTTTAAGTAACCATACTCCTTTATCCTTACATCTTGTCTGCCAGTGAAAGTAATACAGTAATCTGAAGAGCAGCAGCACACTCCAGTCCTACAGGTGTAACAATCCTTAAAAGGAGAGTGTTTCATCCCTTTCCTGGGAACTGCTCTCTCTTATAATCCTATTGTTAACCAAAGGGTGACAGTGCAGACTTACTCTGCAAAGTAAGGGTGGTTTAGAAAAAGGTAATTCAAGTCTGTGAGGAAGAAGAATGTTCTAGTAAATGCCATTAGCCAAGGAGCTGGATAGCACCAGAATCCCACAGGTATTTGAAACAATCCACAAAGCGTTTTCCATGCAGTGATGTGCAGGGAGCTTATGGTTAGGGCTCTGAGGCATAAGCTTCCCTTGGTTGATTAACAACTGCCAAACATAAATAAAAAAGTAACTTTGCCAGGAGGACAGAATTACTATTAAAAAATATATATATAAAATAGATAAAATAGTCTTTTCTTTTGAACTAAAGAGTGATTACAAATAGAAGTAAGTGTTCTTGGCGGTTCATTGTATTTAAGCCTAACTATGACAACTTCTTCTCTTTATGAAGGTAACCTTTTCCATATTGATTTTGGTCATATTCTTGGAAATTATAAAAGCTTCCTTGGAATTAATAAGGAAAGAGTTCCTTTTGTGCTGACTCCAGATTTTCTGTTTGTCATGGGGACTTCAGGAAAGAAGACAAGTCTGCATTTCCATAAATTTCAGGTAAAGAGTGAATATCTAGCTGCAAATCAATTTAGTAATGTTTTTTACCCTCTGAAATGAACATTAATGCTTTAGTTTTCAAAGGTCTGTGCTCCTGGGTATTATGTTAATACAATTTACTGAATCGTAATACGATTGTAGGATATTTTAGGCCCAATTACGAGCAAAAATTGTCTATAGGATTATGGGAATTAGAATTCAAACATCCAGAAGGCCACATCAGAAAGCTTCAGTTAGCAGCAGACCAGATAGGCAGTTCTTTCCCTGTTTCTTGTCTTGGTTGAAAATACTTTGTAGAGGGCTTCAGTGTTTGTGCAGTTAGTGGAGTCTCATAGCTCTAAGCAGAGCCTTCTGTGTAGTACAGGCAGGTGTGAGGCATTCCTCAGCTGCCTCTGCCAGCACTGCCCTCATGTTCTGGAGCTCAAACTGCTGCATCTGAATAGATATCTGCATGACCCTAAGCTGTGTAAGACTTTGTTTTTGTGAAGTGGGTGGACTTAATGCTCTGCTAGAAAAGAATGGTGTTAAAAATCTATTCTGTTGCAGCTTCTATTTGAAATTGAGCCCCTCTGAAACAGTTGTGATTATTCACACAATCACAGAATTGTCAGAGTTGGAAGGGACCTCTAGTGATCATCTAGTCCAGCTACCCTGATAAAGCAGGACTGCCCAGAGCACATTACTCAGGTCTGCATCCAGGCAGGTCTTCATTATCTCCAGAGAAGGGGACTCCTCAACCTCCCTGGGCAGCCTTTTCCAGTGCTCTGTCACCGTCATAGTAAAGAAGTTTTTCCTCATATTGAAATGGAACTCCCTCTCTTCTAGTTTGTCCCCGTTGCCCCTGGTCCTGTGTTGCGGGCCAGTACCGGGGGGCTACCGGCTGTCAGGATGTTTCCACAACTTCCCACCCCAATGTGGAGAGGTTTGTTCATAAGCCCGAGCGTTCACACGTGGCGTTCGCCTCTTAGCAAGGAACGGCCGTTTCGGGACCGTTTCTTAGAGGGTAGATTAAAGTTCCCTCCCACCACGCTCAGAAATTGTTACTGAGACCAATGTTTAATTTGCAAATTAATCAGTTTATTAAGGGGCAATACAAACTAAGGGATCAAGGTTCAGGAGAGGTTAGCTAGGTATATATATTGGAAAAGGGATTCAAAGGCACTAAGGTTTATGAAGGCACACTCCGAAGGAGAGGTGTAAATCAATGGGGTGAAAGGGTAGGAGTTGAGCCCAGTAAGAAAGTTAAAGTGTGTGTGTGT